CTCTACACTTGAGTGAGCCACAGCACCACTTCCAGCTTTTTCTGCTTATGTGGTGCTGAGGAATTGAACCCAGGGCCTCATGCATGCAAGGCGCAAGCGCTCTACCACTGAGCCACTTCCCAGCCACACAAAAGTGATCTCAGGATTTATTACTTAGCCCCCTCTCTTTCATTTCCTGATACTCCATTTGCATAGATTGTTTTAGGTTTCTGAGCACAATTTTCTTAGAGTGGTTTGTGGAGCATTCACCTTTTTCCATAAGGCCTTTTATAACCATGTCAGAAATAAGTGAAATTAGGCAGGCATGGTGGAACATTACTTGAACTAGTTAGTGAGCACATGACTGTGAATTAAAATGTCAATTAGCTGAGATGCATTGATCTGTTCCACAGTTCAGTAATCTTCATCACTTTGACAATCTTGCAGTGGCTATGATATTCCTCTCAACCCACTCCACCTCATCCCGTTCTACACGGGCTCCCGGCACCACGATTTCCACCATATGAACTTCATCGGAAATTACGCGTCCACGTTTACCTGGTGGGATTCCATCTTCGGAACTGACGCTCAGTATAACGCCTATAATGAAAAGATGAAGTCTAGGAAGAAGATGGAATAACTCTTTTCTCAAGCCTTACCAAAGACACACATTCCCCTGAATTGAAGCTAGTAGCTAACATTGCTTCTGGAGAGCAGAAATCAGCATGTGTCTTGGCTGCTAAGTGATAGGGAACATTAACCACCTTCAATTGTCTTCCTGGGGCCTTTCCTACTTCTACGAGGTCTGTATGTGTAGGAGTCCATTTAAGTACGGTTTTTGTGAGGGAGTCTTAAAGGCCGTGCTTCTAACCTTACAAAAGGTTTGAAGCAATGGAAAAAGTATTTATCTGTCTTTTCCCCAGTACTGCCAAAGGCCTGAGATTGGCATTAGTCCTTAAATCTTCTAGATATGTATGCACTGGTCATTTTGGAAAACTGGCAGTAATTACATTGGCCTTTTATTTGGCCTTAAACATTTTTACAATTTGCCTAAAACAAAAATATCATGAATTAAACCCCATCAGCCAATTCAGTGGGTGATTGGAGCTATGAGGTCAGGAATCACCAATACCAAAACCTTCCACTCGTGTCTGGAGCTGACCGAATGAAAGTTGGGATGACCCTCTCTGGAGAGTCATTTTCAGGTACACCACTGGCATCTACAAATTCAAGATTTCTGACTTAATAAAAATGTATTTTAGTCTAAAAGTTTTTCAGACTTGATTTTTTTTTTTTTTGTAATTAAGGTGCTTTTCTGCTATTTGCCCTTTCATTTTTGTATATCAGGTTTTCATTAAAACTTAGAGCTAGAACTTGAGCATTTGTGAACTGGTGTCCTGTGTTTGCACTTTGAGCTCTTGAAATAAATGTGATTTTTGTCTATCTGATTTCCAGTTTTGAAACGTAAGCTTGTCATGTTTTATTCTTATAAGGAAAAATGCAGGTCATTAAATTATTCTATAAAAGGAATGATTCTGATTTTGATGCTTCCTTTGTTACTCTGATGGTGATCTCATTGTGTGGTTATCAGAGTTTGCTTTTAGTTTTGTTTGAGACCAGATCATAACCTTGGAGCCCAGACTGTCTTCCCACTGTAGATTCCCAGCCGCCTCTTAAGAAAGGGGATTTCAGGCCTCACCATCACACCCAGCCATCAGGGTTATGTTTTGGGACATTTCATTGAGCCAGTGAAGATAGAAGATACGTCTTTGAATGTTTTCCAGATAGAAGAATGATTACAGTTGTGAGCCAGTGAACCTGGCGAAAGTCAATGTTTGTAATAGCATCTTAGGGTGGGAGTGGCAGTTCAGCTGCCCATTGGATCTTTGGATGGAGAGGTAGCAGTCTGAAGTGGTATATGCTGGAGAGCGGAAGTGATTTCTCTCATCTGAAAGAAGAGGAAGACCTTGGGAAGAAAGGCAAGAATGACAGGCCCAGGTGAGCACCGGATCCTTGAAGAAATACAGGAGTTTTGAGTCACAGCTAACTTTTCTTTCTTTCTTTCCTTCCTTC